GTGGAGCAAGCCCAGGTGTCCTATTTTAATGGTCAGATATATTAACTTCTCTTCTTAGTCAAAAGTGGGTTTTCCCCCCAGAGTTTTAGTTTATTGCATTCTCTCAATCAAAGTAATGATAAGACTCTGTATGGATTTCTGATGTCTTACGTATGAGAAAAACACAACTGCAAATGGCATAAATATGCATTCAAGTCAAAACGAGTTGCTGGCAGTAAAACTTTAAAATCGTAATTTGTGTGGTGCCCAGATATAGCACCAGTCCCAGGGGGAAGCTGTGGAACAGAGTGCCCGTGTTGGCCAAGATCTAGATGGGGTGGGGGTTTGGGGGTTCTAATCGGGCACTGGATGTGAGATAGATGCAGGGATTGTTCTCCCAGTGTGCAGGAGCCCAGGGAGGGCACGGGATCTCCATAGGGAATCAGAGAGGGTGAGTTCAGGAGCCAGAGAATCTTCCAAAGCAGTGGACTCCAGACACAGTACTGTCGAGTGGACTTGCCAACCAGGCATAGCAAGAACAGAGGGTAACTCAGTGCCCCAAGGACCACGAGAATAACTCTCCAGTAAAAGGAGAGTCATACTCAGTCAGCTGATGTGGATTCCATGTCCCCAGGGTGCTAGCTGACCACTGTCCTCCTTTGTTTTGAAGACAGTAAAATAAGAGCCACCACTTGATCATCTCCATCCAGGTCTCAATCGTAAGATGGTTACCTTGAAGGCTATAGGTTCAAACAACAGTAGATTTCTTCTTCAAACGCATCAGGGTCATCAGTAGAACTGAGCGGATGCTGTTCCCCAGGCCCCTGTCCGTCTCCACTGCCGTCCTGAACCTCAGGGCTGTCTGTCTCCTGTTGGGCCTCAGCCATGGCACACACCTTCAGGCAGGGAGGAGGAGGGTGTGTCCCTTGACGGCCCTGAAGGAGGACCGGAAAGCTGGACGAAGCCTGCTGAGCGGAAGGCCGTTGAGTGTTTTCTGTCTCGTAGGGATCTGTGGCTCTTGTGCGATGAACATCAACGGAGGCAACACCCTGGCTTGCACTCGCAGGATCGACACCAACCTCAATAAAGTCTCCAAAATCTACCCACTGCCACATATGTATGTGATAAAGGATCTTGTCCCTGTGAGTGACTCCATCTTTGCCTTTTTTTAAAGCCAGACGCCCACATGTGTTCTTTAGCTCAGGTTTTGAGTACTGAAAGCTACAATACTAGTCGGAAGGTGGAACCATGTGCGGGGCCTGTCTCTATGGCCTGGCCCAGGGAAAGCAGTGTCCTTGTGAGTGATAGGCTTCCCCGTCTGAGGCAGCGGGCTGGGAGTAACCATGGCCGTGACTGGTGGACGGTAACCAGCCCACACGGCTCCTCCGGCAGCTCATTTGTGAGGTTAGTCTGGGAGGAACAGGGTCTAGAGTTTCAGAGGTGGAATGGTTCCCAAAATAAAGAATTTGGCCCTCACTACAAAGACTCCATGGGGCAAATAGCCCCATTGTTGATGAATTCTGTTTCATTTCTGCCTCTTTGACCCTCTTCCATGTCTTAGTGCTTCCAGAAGTGGGTGAGCAGAACAGATGGAATTAGAATGTGTTCGGGACCGGGGGCGGGGGACAGTGCCTGACCTTGCCTCATTGTGACCATGTCTCCTTCCACAATCCTTGCATGAACCCTTGCCAATGTAGGAGCCTGGCTCCTGTCTGCCAAGAGCAGGCCATGGCCAGACACGAGGCCTGTTAGAAAGCGCCTTTGTTCCTCCTCTCTCTCCTTCACTTCAGGACTTGAGCAACTTCTATGCTCAGTACAAAGTCATCGAGCCTTACCTGAAGAAGAAGGATGAATCCCAGGAGGGCAAGCAGCAGTATCTGCAGTCCATAGAAGACCGGGAGAAACTGGTCAGTAGGCCCCGTGTTTGATCTGGAGGCTCTGGTCGGTCGGAGGTGTTTCACTATAAAGTCATTGCCCAGAGTGTGGTTTGGCGGGTAGCAGCACAAGCTAAAGCAGACCGTCTAGTATACTTGGGGCGTGGTGGAAACTGGAAAGGAACTTCAAGATCATTTGGCTAAAGAAGTTGGACACCCATCCTTAGGCCCACTCAGGAAGCGTGAGCCAGGAAGGGCCCAGAGGGGTGGAGGAGCTGGTGCACCACGCCCTCCTGGAGCCCAACTATTGCCCTATTGCCAGATGGTCGCCTCTCACCTCACCGCCACCACCCTTTTCCATGGCTGAAAGGAAACAGTGCCTGGCAAACCTTCCTGACAGCACATGCCAGGGTGGTTATGGGGCTTCCTCATGCTCGGGGTTGCCCCCCCAGGTACAGGCTGTACTGGTAGGTTCGTCCATCGTGGCACTTCTACAGCCCTTGACACCCCAGCCATATGGCAGACGAGTGTATCGCAAGGACCATTCTGGGCCTGCCTGTGCTAGACCAGTGGTTCTCACCCTGCCTAATACCACGACCCTTTCATACCATTCCTCATGTCGTGCTGACCCCCAACCATAACATTGTTTTCGTTGCTGCTTCATCACTGTTGTTATGGATCAGGCGACTCCTGTGAAAGGGTCGTTCAGTCCCCCAAAGGGGTCACGACCCCCAGGTTGAGAACTGCTGCTCTAGTGCCGGGAACATACTGTTTTATCAAGCCATGTTAGTGTGTGCGGTGAGGTCTACCCCTTATGGTCCAGGGACGGACGATTTAGCGCCTTCTCCTGAGCAAGGAAAGGTCTGGGTGTTCCCCGTCCTGTGAGAACCTCAGTGCTCACTTCTGATGACTGTCTCAGGAGGGTCTGGTTGCCAGCACATAGCTCTGCCCCAGTTCCAGCTCACCGAGAATCTTCGAAAGTCCTCGAGTCCAGGGGGAACTGGCCACTTGGGCCCCGCTCATCATGGCTCACTCCTCTATCAGCCTAACTCACGACTAGTGGACAGGCCCGGGCCGCCTTGCTGTGGTTTTACTAGGGCATGAGGGGTCCCAAGTGTGTTTTCTCGTCATCAAAATTGCTCACTTACATACCAAACCTATTTTTAGCATGGTTTGGCTTCCTTAATATGCTGAACAGAGCTTTTTTTTTTCATGATTGCCAAAGACATGGTACTCATGGTAAGCAATTGGGAAATAAAGGTATTTTTATGGTAATCTATACTTGTATTACCCAAGGATGGCCTCTATTAATATTTATTGTTTTATAATCAATCTCATATATTACATAACAAATCAAAATGTAATTATGATTTCATTCATGTCATAAGCATTTCCTTCCTAAGTTTTGTTTTTGTTCTTTTTTTCCTTCCTAAGTTTTCATTAAACTTTGAATAATACTATATGGATGTGTGCATCAGGCGTTATTGGGCCAACATGAGGTGGTTTCCAATTTTTCACTATCTTTAGTCTTCCATTTCTGCCCCTAAAATTCTAATGCATCTCGTTACACATTTTTCTTAAAGTGGGTTAAGGAACATGATTTTGATCTAGGTCCTTAAGCCGAGGTCCCGATGCTTTTTTGACTGGTGGCACTTTTCCCCACCCTGGCTGCTCATGGGCGCTCACTTTCATTTCCCATGTCTGCTGCCCCTTCCGCTGGGCTCCGTCAGTTCCTGGTGTTGGCTGGGATCCGAAGGCCAGTGGGTTAGAGCTGGTTAGGCAGGAGTCAGAGCGGCGGGTGTCAGAGCACAGGAGGCCCAGAGTCTGGTGGTGGGGTGGCATCGGAGCTTTGTGGGTGACCCTGAGCAAGCGGCTGCACAGGCCTCAGAGCCCTCCCTGTAACATGGGGCCCTTGGCCGTTCTCCCTCGGGGATGATTGTGCTGGACAGGTGGGCAAGGCTGCACTCGAGGCCTGGCGGTCACAGAAGGACAGTGCTGGTGTCCTGTGGGACCCGAGGCCCCTGCCCTGCTCAAGGCCTCGATGGCTTCTCTCTGCTGAGCACTTGGGAGGCTTCTGTGCGTGGCTTTCCATTTAAGCCAAGTGGTTTATTAGCGGGAATGCATGGGGCGGGGGTTTCTGCAAGCCTGGCCTCACCCAGCCCGTGTGTACCCTTTAACCCCCAGAGTTTGAGGAGCCTTGTGTGTGGTGAGCTGGCCAAGGAAGCACAGCTGGAGTGGGCACCCCGAATGTCATGTGCCATTAGCTGCAAGTGTGGCCCAGGCTGACCCTGACCCGTCTTTCCACACAGGACGGGCTCTACGAGTGCATTCTCTGTGCCTGCTGCAGCACCAGCTGCCCTAGCTACTGGTGGAACGGCGACAAGTATTTAGGTCCTGCCGTCCTCATGCAGGTAAGATCCTCCTCCTTGCTTTAAGAACGGCTGAAATGCCAAGATCCAGAAACCCACGCGGACCGTGGACTGTTAGAAACCAACGAGCTTCCTTCAGTGGCACCCAGGGCACCAAAGCAGGGCGATTGCTCACGTTTTCTGCACTCGGTCTACTGTAAAGCACAGTACACCAACAGTAAAGCGAACGCTTCGTCTACAGAGGGCCTTTGTGTTCAGGGAGCCCTGGGTGTGGCAAACCCCGTGTTCCCCAGGCTGCTCCCCCCTCACAGGGATTGACAGCCCAAAGTGGGGCTCAACAGTGCCCTCGGCTAATGGAAGTCTTTGGAGAACTGGTTTAGGGGTGGCTTAGAAGCGGGAGTAGTGTAGCTTTCATTTCATTTCTTTCAGCCCTTGTATGTGTATGTGCAGAGAAAGCCGTGTAAGGAAGGCTCGTGCTCCTCGGTTTGTGGGAGCTACTCAGTGTTTCTGCTCCGCCTGCCAGGCACTCCTCAGGAGACCCATGTGGCAGTCTGCCTCTGCTCTGGGCTCCACGCGGCCCTGTCGGGTCAGCCCCTTCAGCAGTGGGTTGTCGGTGGCTTGTTTTTTTTAAGCAACTCAAAAAAAATCCATTTCTAACTTCTCATTTTCCACAAAAAGAGAAGTTACGTGGCCATGGAGCCGCATTTGCAAGCTAGATGTCAGCCTTGTTCAAGGTTGATGAGCGAGGGAGCGGAACTGGGTGCTTGCACTGATGATCAGAGGGGGTTGGGCATGTAAGACTCTTCTTTCCTGTAACTGCTGGCGCTAGCCCAGTGACCATGTGGTTCATCAGTGGTCAGCGTGTCCATCCATCTCTGGCTTCTGAGATTACTAATGAGAGGAACCGACCTCATCCCTGAGGCAGGCCCTTGAAATGTCTCGTGTGCTCCGGGGCAGTGCGTGCCCAGCATGGGAGGTGCCGTGGGGAGAGGAGAGGTCCAAGGTCCCAGCCCATCTCGCCCTCCCTGAGTCCTAATAGGCTCAGGCAGCTGTTGAGCAACATACGCAGCAGCAGGTGCCAGTGCAGGTGGCTCAGTGGGGAGGCCGGGTGGGGGCGCTCATCAAAAGGAGTTAGAGGAAAGCGTTGGGAGGAGGGCAGCAGTTACAGTGAGGGGGCAGGGACCCGGCTGAGCTCAGGCCTGGGGAGGTGAGTGCTCCCCTAACCACTGACCGGCCCCTGGTGTCTTCCCAGGCCTACCGCTGGATGATCGACTCTAGGGACGAATTCACCGAGGAGCGGCTGGCCAAGCTGCAGGACCCCTTCTCCCTGTACCGCTGCCACACCATCATGAACTGCACCCAGACATGCCCCAAGGTACCTCAGCGCCAATGGGTCAGCATGGGGCAGGGGCCGGAGCATGCCCAGTCATCTGCTGCGAGCCCGAGGGCTAGCTTGTGTTTCAGTTGCAAGGCACAGGCTCACTGAGGCCACCCGGGAGGGGAGCAGGTCCACCGGGAGGGAACCCGCGTGCATTGCAGGAGGCCAGAGAACCGAGGAGCAGGAACCTGAGTTCAGTCTGACTGAGAGGAACCAGCCTTCAGAGCACAGGCAGCTCCCAGTCTGTCTCACGTCTGCCACTCCTCTCTTCTCTTCTGTCAGAGCCAGCTTGTTCCTGGTCTCTCTGGGGGACCTTTCTGTCTCAGCCGCACCTGCGGTCCACCCCACCCCCCACGCTGCCTTCAGCTCACTCAGGCCTGGACCGAGCTCACAGCATGCCTTTGCTTCCGCCCCGCCTATCTACTCTTGGCTCAGATTCCCAACAGGGGCCTAGCCGGCCAGCTCAGCTCGTCTGTCAGCCCACATCAGAGGTTGAAAGGCAGCTTAAGGACTGGCTGCCCTTTGATCAAGTGCCAGTGCTGGTACAGTCCCCTGGGCTGGGAGGGGCCAGGGTCAGGAGGCTGCCACATGACTGCCTCCTCTTTGAAGAGACCGTGGGTAGATCAACTTTGACTTTAAAAAGGACAGTGAGTAAGGGGGAATAAACAGTTAATGATGTAAATAAAATGGCAACTTAGCTTTGAAAATGTAGGCCCCAAGCTGGGTGCGCTCGTTTCTTCTCTGCCTGGAGTCCAGCTGAGTGTCCGAGATGGAGCTTGGTCCCTGGTGGCCCATGGGGCTCCGCGGTGGGCCTGGGGGGCCACCCGAGGGAGCCCGTGATCTCCGAGGCCAGTGCCTCCCTGCTGCCTGAGGGCCTGTGGGGCACATAGTAAGCACGTCTGTGAGCGTTTGGACCTGGTGGCTCAGTGGCTACTCACTGAAGCGTGACCTCTGCGAGGTCAGCAGGTCCACACTTCCAGCCACTCTGAGGGGAAGAGATGAGGCTGCCCAGGTCCGTGAAGTGTCTGAGACGCCCCCGGAGCGAGCACTGCCACCCTGACCTCCACGGCCTCTAGGACTCAGGATGGGCTGGATGGCAGTGAGTTTGGGGGCGTTGCTGCTGAGAAACCATGTCTCTGGGGGCTGGCCATGGCTGCGTGTGGCTTCCAAAGTCCCTGCAGGACCCCTGCAGCTCCCTGGGCTTCCCTCCCTTCACACAGGGCACTGAGCCACTGGTCCCGACCAACTCTTTTAGAAGATGGGGAGCTCTCTCAAAGGCCCACCACAGAGCAAGCCTGAATGCTCCTTTCACTGTCCCCCTCTTCCTTCGCCAGGCCCTTGTGGTCGATAAAAACAGGTCCTGATGCCAGGTGTACGTTTCCATGAAAGCAAAGTGGTGTAGCGACTTCCAAAAACAGCCTATGAAATGCCTGCCTGCCTGCCTGCCCACATCCCATCCCCCCTTTCTCACTGCAGTTTTGTACTTTGTGTTAAATTTGTTCTTCTGAAATGAGGGCTTCCTTCATGCAAGTTTGCTTAATTTTGCCAAATGCAGGTTGGATTCCCTCCTCCTCCTGAGTCTGGCATTCACTAGGTCTAATTATCGTGTCTGCTGCAGACCAGACAGTATTGGGCCAGATTCCAGCAGCTAACACCCCCGTTAGTGGCCCGGCAGCACCTCGTGGTGGCTGTGACAGGTTAACAATGGGCAGTTTCAGAGACCACTGAGAGCCGATTCCTGCCGGTAATGACTTAATAATAATGGTCGTGACGGGAATTTTTGGTTGGTTCAAGATTTGGAGATGTCTGGGTAGTTGGTAGCATGAGGCGGTCGGAAGGAATTCAGTGTGACGGGACTCCTGCCAGAGAGCTGAGCAGCTCTACGCGTCTGAGGGCAGGGCAGAGAGCTCTCAGCCCGCCCAGGCTCTGGGCTTTAAAGGAATAGCTGCGTGTGCATCTCGCGTTGGCCCACTCATGGTCACCGAGGCTCGCTGGGCTCGGTCACCCTTTAATAGTGATTCTCTTTTGAAGGGGCTGAACCCAGGGAAAGCCATTGCTGAGATCAAGAAAATGATGGCAACCTACATGGAGAAGAAAGCTGCGGCCTAGCCGTGCTCCGTGGACTCTTCGTGCTGCTGCTGCTGCTTCGCCCTGGTGACAGCTCAGAGCTGCACATCACGCTATCTGATTTGAGCTCCTTCACAGTCTTGACTTTCCATTAGTACAGCATGTATAACTGAACACTTTAAGAAATAAATGTTATTCTACTTTAATAACAAAAAGGCAAGCCTATTCCTTTTCCTTGCTTAAGTGGATTGTGAAGGTGCCAGCAGTCCTGGTCTCTGGAGAGGTGGGCAGAGCCCCAGAACTGGCTGCAGATGTGACACTGTGTCCAGCTCTGTTCTCCACCAGCTGGCTGACCTTGGACCAGTGCCTCGCATCTTTATTCCTGTATTTGCCCATCTGTCAAATGGGAATCATTGTACCTACCTCACATGTGAGAATGCCTAGCACTTATTCTCAGTGATTAATAAATGTTAGCTCCATCCAGCCTCCCAGTTTCTACAGTTTTTCGTAGTCAAATAACAGTAGTCTGCAGATTATAATCAAATCCCAGCCCTTCCTAAGTCTGTCCTTAAGTCAAATTTGTACCTACATCAGAAGAGTGAGGTCTTATTTGTTATCTAAAGTCAGTCAGGTGTTTGTCTCTGTATAGCTTTCTCTACAAAGTCTACGTGAAAAACTTTATAAACACTCATGGATGCCCTGACATCTTTAACGTAACACATCTCCTCTATCCACGTGGTTACTGTCCAAAAACCAGGTGTAATACAAAAATAAGCATTATGTAAAGATGGAGGCTAACTGCCAGTTGACATCATTACAGAAGTGCCAAACCGCTGGAAAGCATGGCTTAGCCAAGTTGACATAACCTTCACCATCACATGCATACCACTAGTCCGCTGTGGTGACATGTGCCTTGCGGTGATGCTGGAAGCTGTGTCACTGGTAAGTCAAATGCTAGCAGGGTCACCCAAAGTGAACAGGTTTCACCAGAGCTTCCAGACTAGGAACAATGTGGTAGTTACACAATTTCATGTCAACTTGATCAATAAGAATGAAGGGTGGCGTCTAGCCTGGTGACCCCTCCTTGTGGGTGTGGCCTTCTCAAGGAGTGTCTTCTCTTCCTGGAGGCGGGACACACACTCTGCTTCACATTCCTGTTGACAAGCCACATGGAGCCATGCTGATGGCAGCCAGAGCCCTGGGGATGCGTCCACTGCCATTGGGTCCACAAGATTTTGTACCCACCGGCCTGTGATCTTCCTGCACTCAGCATCCTTGCATGTGCTGCATGAGTCTGAAGAGGAACTCCTGGGCTAATATTGACTTCATGGACTGACTGTATATACTCGTGAATAAGCCAAGTTTTTCAGCACATTTTTATACTGAAAAAGCCCCCCTCGGCTTATAATTGAGTGAGGGTCCCACTTATCTGTTCTCTGGTGCAGTGCGTGTTCTCTGGTTTCTCCCAATCATCTGCGGGGCGCCTGCAGCCCCTGTTGTCTGTGCCCTACTGGGCAAGAACCTGCCTGTGTCAGTGTGCTGGGGCGCACTGCATCCTTGTCAGATGGCTGTCGGATGCAGCTGCTCCTCTTCTCCAGGGCTGTGACCAGTGACGGAGCCTTCAGTCTCACCCGTGCTTGCTCACGCCCCCTTGCTCCACCCAAGCATTGCTGAATACAAGTACAGGTATATCTCTGGTCTTGGATACACAGTACATTTATTTATAATACTTAAACTGCTACATTTTATTGTTTTACTTTCTTATTAACCCCTATCTGGACCCAAGTGTTGACTATGCTTGCATAGAGCAGCCTGTGTTAGAGCTCATAATATACACGTTGTGTACGCACTGTTACTGTATGTGTTGTGTTAGCACTTCCCATACATAATGCAGCAAATGCAGTACGGTGCATATACAACGCAGTGTGTACGTTATGAGCCCTCTGTGCGGTTGAAACAGGCGCAGAATGAAGAAAGCTCAGCCAAGAAAGAAAACTAAGGAATGGCTTTGAGACTAGGAGAAACTCCCGGGAAAATTCCAAGAACCAACGAGTTCACTCAGGAAAGTCGCAGCTTGTCGGTGAGGCGGTGGGAGATATATAGGGCTCGAGCTAAGGAAGTACACGTTGACAGAAGGGAGATTTTTATTGCTTGCAGCTGCAGGGCCTTCAGTCAGGATGCAACCGTGGGAAGTCTTCTTGTTTGCAAACCTGCTCTCTGGAGGGCTGGGAAAGGGGCTCTACAAACCGCCCTGGGAAGATAAACTGCTTCCTGGCATGCTGGGGAAGGGGCTACCCAAACCCGGCCTAGAGAGAGAAGCTCTTTGGAGTGTTGGACCAGGAGATGCATAGTTCACTAGGTCATCCATCCTCCCGAGAGGCTGGGAACGGGGCGTTGAGGTCTCATCTTCCTGAGGAGCTGGAGAGGAGGCGGGGCTGCTCTGTGCAAACAGTCCTGTCACCACATTCTGGAATATCATCAGCTGCATTAGGCCTCAAACTACACAGGCTGCATTGTGTACATGCGGTAAGGCAGCGTATGTAGTAATGCAGTAACAGCATGTATAGTTATTGTGGATACTACATTGTTTTTGTTGACCCTCTTTTCCATTTACAGCGCTAGTTTACTATTTTTCTTTGAAATAAATATTCAAAAGCATTTCACCTACTGATGCCTCAATCTAACTATTGGAATATTTTTTTAATCTATTTTTATGTTGCAGTTTACCAGTAGCTGCTGTGTTTCCCATCCTAGGCTTATACTCGAGCCAATGAGTTCTGAAGGTTTTTGTGGTAAAATTAGGTGCCTCGGCTTATATTCAGGTTGGCTAATACTCGAGTATATACGGTAATCTGGTCTGGGCTGTTTTATTGATACACAATTCATGATATAAAGTACTCTTACATTTATATGAGTGTCTCTGGGTTTGTTTCTCTAGTCAACCTGGACTAACACCAATGACAATAAAGAAAAAGTGGGCTC